TTACTTTTCATTAATGTAATAAATTATTGGAATTTTAATAATTTTATATAAAAAAATCACTAATTGAAAGGGAATATATTTACTTAAAAAATGATTAAAATACAATTCAATGAAATAATTGAATCAAATAGATTCGAAATAAAATATAATAATGAAAATATCCTCAGACGATTTTTTCATCAAAGCATATTTTTGAAAATACGAAACAAATATTCAAATCTTGTAGCTTTGATTTCAAAATCTATCTGTCGCGAAATATCTTCTTGTATGTAATGTTTCATATATATTTTTAAACGGGAAAACTATTCTCTTTATTGTCTCGAAAATCAAGAAAATTGACATTGAAAGAAAATGAAAATGAAAATGATTCATTATTTATTTCAATATTTGTATTTAATTCATATATGTTTAATTCATATTTTTATATTTAACGCTTGCAAATATATTATTAAATATATTTTAGTTGCTTTAAATTGAATTAACATAACGTTGGATAATTAATTTGAGAAATTAGTTATATTTAAACACGCGACGTACAAGAAGATCTAGCCTGAATTAATAAATAGAACACAGAAAAAAGAAATATTACTATTCTACGGGTATGATAAAATACTCGTAGTCACTGTGCTCGTGTGAAATTCTACGTATACAACCAATCACCCGTGTCGATTCGAATCTTTCATTCTACGACATGATTGAGTGACCGGAGGAATCAAAATGCATGCGACTCACCATTAGATGTGAAGAATCTGCATTATTATAACTCATAGGAAATCATCGCAAGATTGATAAATATCTGTCAACAAAAAATGGAACATTTTAAATTATATCACATTATAAATATGATAAAGATTCTAATTAGATTTCAAAAAACAATAAAAATTAAAATCTTTAAATATAAATTTAAAATTTAAAAATTGAAATTTTCTAATTGTTCTATCTTTCAATAGAAAAATAAAAACTTAAATAAAAGAAAATTTAAATAAAAAAAAAGATAATTACCTGCTCTTATAATTGTCTTATTTTCTTGAAAGAAGCACTGACTCTACTCTATTGAAACGAATATTTATGTAAAAAAAAAAATAAAAAATATAGAAAACTATTATATTGTATGACCGCACAAAATAAGCACTGATTTTAATCTCACGTGTTTACTGTAATTAATTTTATTTAGATCTATAATGCTCTAAAAAAAATAAAAAATACTATTGCGAAATAAACACTGATTCTATCGACTGCATTGCGCGCAGCCACAATAATCTAAAAATGAAATTATATTAGTGAACAAAGAAATATGCAAAAAAAGAAACAAAATATGTTTTTATATTTTCTTTCTAGAACATTTGTTAAGAAAGATACTGATATTTTTATATATATATTTATATACATTATATATATATATATAAAACTAAATAATTTAATAAAAAAAGAACAAAAATATAACTTACATATATTTTCTTCAATATAGAAATTTAAATTTTACCTCTTTTTCATAAAAGGTAAACTTGTCATCATGGCGTCCATTGAAAATCTTTTTCCCGCTTAAAATAATCCGAGAAATCAGCTATTTATCTGCGCAAAAAAAGAATCAAATCTTTAAAACATATATATATATATATATATATATATATATATAATAAA